TTGGTTGCTATGCATACTGTTGGCCATGTTTTTAAACATGAAAATAAGGATTATGCCCTTATTGAATATGGCTATTCTATGGAATCTATTCTTTGTGATATTAAGGAAAAGAATGAGAGCTTATATAATTTACTAAATGAAGAGAAAAATGAGAACCATAGTGAAGAGAAAAACAGCAAACAAGGAACGTCTCTTCAAGATCCTCAAGTTGAACCCATGGACAGTTAGAAAACATATGTTGCCTTCAAGAAATTATGTTAATAAAATAATTTGGAGTATTGGGGGATGTTTCCTTAAAGTACAATAAACATTCTTTCATAATTGGAAAACTGTTGGAGAATCATGTGCATATTCAAAACACATATTAGAGCTCAAATAATTTTTTTTCTCATTAGCTTTTTTAAAAACTTGAAACAGTCACAAGTTGCACTTAAAGTGTCTAGCTCATTTATACACTTACAAAGAATTTGATATCCAGGGCCAGCAGGTCTAAAATGGTTAGGGCACTGGACTCCCACATGGCTGACTGTGTTTCGAGTCCTGGACCCAGTGGCTTGAAACTCACACTGTGTACCTGTGCTTGCATGCCCAAAATCCTCAGAAGAGAATAGAGGAGATGGGATTGCAGTGTGGCCATCCCCCCAGGAGATGATTGCTCGCTTTCTGTGTCTTGGTCTCTTTGGCACACATATACACCCTATGGTGAAAAATCTCTCTTCGAAAAAAAATAATAATTTGATATTCACCATTCTAAATACCCAGAATTAATTATACACATGTGTTACTGGCAAAGTGATTCTTGTTCTCTGTCTAACAAGAAAATGAGGAAATATACATTTAATATTAGAGAGAAAATCTGTATCATTCCTCTAAAACGCAAATTTTGTTGGCAATCTTGATTTCTTCCCTTCTAAGCCACCTGTGACATCAGCCTCTATTGAAAGTGGCAGTAGAAAATTCTGATTTTTATTGTGAGGCTGCTTCCTCACTTAAATAGTGATAGGGACAAAGAAGTATATCACATGTTTTTAAAATTTAACTTAGCTTAGAAAAATAAGACCTAAATCAAAAAGAGCTATAAGCGTCTATTAACAATTGTTGGCAAAGAACCTATTGATAATGTACATGATAATGGCTCTGATTTGACGGATATGCACTGTATTCATGCTGGGAACACCATGTTGTACACTGTGAAGATGTCGAGTTATTAAATGTAAAAAAATAGTAATAATAATAAATTAAAATTAAAAACACAGAAGAAAATTCTGTTTTTTTGGTTCTTTCCTTTAGCTCAGCAATAGCTAAAACTAACCCTTCTCTGATAGAAACTAAGAGTGGTTTTCTCCTTTTGTCGTGCTTTCAGACTTGAAAGCTAAGAGGTAAGAATTCCAGACTAATTTTCAACTAAGACTCTGATTATAAATTACATATCTCCAAACAGATTTACTTGGATGTTATTTGGAAGATGCAAGTAAAGTAGGGGACTTCTTTATTCTACTCCATTTTTGGGCAAGCTAGGCCGTATGCTACTCCATTTTTTGGCAAGCAATCCATGTCAAGAGACAGTATCTCCGCATTCAGGGCTAATGTCTAGTCATCGCTTCATTAGTATCAGGAAGAAAGTGCAGCAGTATCAGCAGCCAGAATTAATGAGACAGTGTCTAGTCACTCACTTTGATACTGTGGAGAAGCATTCTTGGTAGTAAGTTTCCTAATTTAGCTTCCTGATTCCTGGATTGCTGCCAAGAGAGTACATTCTTGAAATCAGTAATTCCAATGTTGACCTGAATCCCATTGTTTTTATTATCCTAAAGAGTTTCAGCCTTGATTCCTTGTACTAAATCTCTTTTACCTGCACTGAACCCTGACTGATAAACCCTCCTTTATAACTATCAATTGGTTGGACTCTCAAATATGCATCAATCTTAGTTGTGCAAAAACTATATTTCTGACTCAGGGAAATTGTTTGTTGGGAGCTAAATATTTATTAGAATATAGGAACAACTGCTAATTTTAAAAATAAGGTTTTGAAAAAGAGAACTTTAGGGACCAGCAGTTAGCATAATGGTTTTGTTGCTGGACTTCCATTTAGCCGACCGCAGTTCAAGTACCGGACCTGATGACATAAACTCACACCAGATCGTGTGCGTGCATGCCCAAGATCCCAAGAGGAGACTGGAAGATAAAGGATTGTGGTGTGGCCATCCTCCCTTCAGGGTGATTTCTCACTTTCTGTCTCTCTGTCTCTCTCTGTCTTTCTGGCAAGTGGACGTACCCTATAGTGAAAACCTCTAAAACAAAAAGAAAAAGAGAGAGAACTTTATTTCTCTCTCACATAACATAGTTCAGCCTACAATATTTGTGGGGGAATTTCAGCCTGTCAAGATACTAAGTTTCTTCAATCAGGTTACACCACAATCTTCAATCTTCAGCATGCAACATGGTCCAGATGGCTGTTAAATTTGTAGCCAACATACATGCACTACTTTTAAAATGTTTAAAAGGAGAGTGAGCCTTTTCCTCTTAAGATCAACTTCCAGAAACTTATCTACCAAGTTGCTCACAGTTACATGGGTCATTTAGTTACACAGGTCATTTAGCAGAAAAGCTGACTGGAAAATGTAGTGTTTCTTCTGGATGGCCAGAGGCCCAGGCTAAAATTCTGTAACCATGGATAAGGAAAAACTGGATATCTTGCAGTCTCAGCTATAGTCCTACCCATCTAGCCCTTCTAGTATCTGTATATACGCTTTCTTCCACATCAAGCACACTTACCCATCCAAGATAGACAAGAATTTCTGGACAATTGTGTATGTCTCTCCGTCACTTCCAAATATAGGTTCTCAAGGTCAAGAAACTGCTCTGTCCATTTCCCCTTACCACACCAACATACCCAACAGAGACATATGATGAAAGAATAATACTAAGTATAACAGTTACAATCCCATAGCTGTCCCAATCAAACTGTCTTTCTGCAGAAATTGCCAGGATGCCCAGCTGTGGCAGGGGAGTACAATTTTAGTTAGCTCATATTCCTTCTCCTGGTTGCATCTCCTGCAGATGGAACTTCCTTGACCATGTCTTTCCTGGGCCCTGTCCTTTTGAGTTCTTTTGCCCTTTGGTGTTCTTTTGTGTCCATTGTTTACTGCGGCCATTTCTTTCATTTTTTTTTAAGTGTAGCGTTGTTAAGTTATTATTTATATATACTGAAATTTGTCCTTTTGGGTGAATAGGTCTATGAATTCTGACAAATACAGAAATGAGTAACTTACTACCATAATCAAAAAGTCAGATATTGTTTCTTACAACTATCATGCTGTCAATGTACTTACAAAAGGTTAATGGTAATTATAGTAAGTGTTTACTTTCCCCAATTGAACTAAGTTCAAGGCCCTATACTTACTTTAAATTGGTAGTTAGATCTAGAGACTTGATTATATTCCGTTTCAACTTTTTGTCAAGAACTCATCCTAAGTGATACCAAGAGATGTCAAGCTTTTCAATTGCATTTACTGCAGGCAAATATCTGATCACCATTTACATTAGTACTGTGAAATTTGTTATCAATCCCATTGGCTTCCCAAGACTGAGTATTGAATATAGAATTTCTGGAGAGTGCACCCAAATCACTTTCTATCTTCTTTTATTAAGAACTTTTAAACTCTATCCTGACAATTATTTCTTCATTTCTGATGTTGCAGTTTATCAAATTCTGACAGTTCTCTGAACATTAGTGTAAGGTGGGAACCCCAAATCTGAAAGTGCTCATCCATATATTAGAATATAGGAACAACTGCTAATTTTAAAAATAAGGTTTTGAAAAAGAGAACTTTAGGGACCAGCAGTTAGCATAATGGTTTTGTTGCTGGACTTCCATTTAGTTGACTGCAGTTCAAGTACCGGACCTGATGACATAAACTCACACCAGATCGTGTGCGTGCATGCCCAAGATCCCAAGAGGAGACTGGAAGATAAAGGATTGTGGTGTGGCCATCCTCCCTTCAGGGTGATTTCTCACTTTCTGTCTCTCTGTCTCTCTCTGTCTTTCTGGCAAGTGGACGTACCCTATAGTGAAAACCTCTAAAACAAAAAGAAAAAGAGAGAGAACTTTATTTCTCTCTCACATAACATAGTTCAGCCTACAATATTTGTGGGGGAATTTCAGCCTGTCAAGATACTAAGTTTCTTCAATCAGGTTACACCACAATCTTCAATCTTCAGCATGCAACATGGTCCAGATGGCTGTTAAATTTGTAGCCAACATACATGCACTACTTTTAAAATGTTTAAAAGGAGAGTGAGCCTTTTCCTCTTAAGATCAACTTCCAGAAACTTATCTACCAAGTTGCTCACAGTTACATGGGTCATTTAGTTACACAGGTCATTTAGCAGAAAAGCTGACTGGAAAATGTAGTGTTTCTTCTGGATGGCCAGAGGCCCAGGCTAAAATTCTGTAACCATGGATAAGGAAAAACTGGATATCTTGCAGTCTCAGCTATAGTCCTACCCATCTAGCCCTTCTAGTATCTGTATATACGCTTTCTTCCACATCAAGCACACTTACCCATCCAAGATAGACAAGAATTTCTGGACAATTGTGTATGTCTCTCCGTCACTTCCAAATATAGGTTCTCAAGGTCAAGAAACTGCTCTGTCCATTTCCCCTTACCACACCAACATACCCAACAGAGACATATGATGAAAGAATAATACTAAGTATAACAGTTACGATCCCATAGCAATAATCAAACTGTCTTTCTGCAGAAATTGCCAAGTTTATTTGTATCGGAATTGCAATCCCATAGCTGTCCCAATCAAACTGTCTTTCTGCAGAAATTGCCAGGATGCCCAGCTGTGGCAGGGGAGTACAATTTTAGTTAGCTCATATTCCTTCTCCTGGTTGCATCTCCTGCAGATGGAACTTCCTTGACCATGTCTTTCCTGGGCCCTGTCCTTTTGAGTTCTTTTGCCCTTTGGTGTTCTTTTGTGTCCATTGTTTACTGCGGCCATTTCTTTCATTTTTTTTTAAGTGTAGCGTTGTTAAGTTATTATTTATATATACTGAAATTTGTCCTTTTGGGTGAATAGGTCTATGAATTCTGACAAATACAGAAATGAGTAACTTACTACCATAATCAAAAAGTCAGATATTGTTTCTTACAACTATCATGCTGTCAATGTACTTACAAAAGGTTAATGGTAATTATAGTAAGTGTTTACTTTCCCCAATTGAACTAAGTTCAAGGCCCTATACTTACTTTAAATTGGTAGTTAGATCTAGAGACTTGATTATATTCCGTTTCAACTTTTTGTCAAGAACTCATCCTAAGTGATACCAAGAGATGTCAAGCTTTTCAATTGCATTTACTGCAGGCAAATATCTGATCACCATTTACATTAGTACTGTGAAATTTGTTATCAATCCCATTGGCTTCCCAAGACTGAGTATTGAATATAGAATTTCTGGAGAGTGCACCCAAATCACTTTCTATCTTCTTTTATTAAGAACTTTTAAACTCTATCCTGACAATTATTTCTTCATTTCTGATGTTGCAGTTTATCAAATTCTGACAGTTCTCTGAACATTAGTGTAAGGTGGGAACCCCAAATCTGAAAGTGCTCATCCATAATGCTTACTGATCTCAAAGAAGTCACCAAGAGGGCCAAGAGAGAGACATAAGTTTATTCACATAGGACAGGATGCACAGATGACAGCCAGTCAGTGAGTGATCAAGAACCAGGCACACATAAATCAATCAGATCAATGCAGATGTTCTGCCTTGAAAATGGGTTGGTTTCTATTATACGTACATTGTTTGAAGATTACAGTAAAAAGTTATATTTATTAATTAACAGATTCAGTAGGGTATGTTTAAGGTTTAGTGCCTCTAATTTTGTGATGTTGACATGGAAGTGGGGGTGCATATACCTTTAGAATGGCCCTAGCTGTGGGCAAATTCCTCGAAGTAGAAGTAATGGTCTCAGGATGCTTAAGAGCCCCAGCTGTAGCCTGTAACTTGTTCTCAGGAAACTCAGACATGGGGTTGGGAGAATGGAGGTGACTGGGAAAATGGAAGGTGATTGGGGGGAGTTCAATGTGTGATTCATACTCATGAAAACTTGACTTTCTCACAAAAGAAAAGAATCCTGAGATCATTATAAGTGTAAACTTAGTGTGATAGTTAATGTTACATGTAATTTGACTGGGCCACACGGTGCACAATTATTTGGTCTGGTATTATTCTGAATGTTTCTGAGATGTTTTGATTCATTTATTTATTTATATGGATGAAATTAACAT